ACTTTATTTTGAGAAATCTGTTCAGGTCACAAGTTTTCATTTTTTCTCATTCATGATCAGAGGTATGTTTCATTAAAACCTGATTTCATTTTGCAAGATCTTGAGGGATTATCTTTGTGAAGATTAGGCTGGTCCTAAGTTTCATAGGGTAATTCACTACATAAACCACTACAATTTTGGGATGCACCTAGTAGCATGGCATTTATTAGGAATATAGACTTCTGAGTTCTGGTGCATTTGTGAGTGCAGGGGTCATTATGTTACCGCTATGCGGTATCTAGTTTTTAGTGGGGTTTCCACGCAACCCTGACCTCTCTTTAGAGGTGTTCCAGCCACGACCCACTGGTAGGAGGCCCAGGGGGAAGACCCAGGACTCGCTGGAAGGATTATGTATCTAACCCTAACCATCACAGAGAGACCTGAACAGGTCTTCTATCCATCACACAGTCTGTTTGTGGTAGGAAACCAGAGTATCTGGAGAAAAACCATAGGTGTACATGATCAACAGCGGCTGTGGTGCAGTGGTAGGGCAGCTGACTTGATACCAGAAGGTCACAGGTTCAATTCCCTCTTATACCCACATGTGGTGGTGTCCTTGAGCAAGACACCCAACACCAAACTGCTCCCTGGGCGGTTAATTAGCTGCTGCTGTTCCACTTTGATGGGTCAAATGCGGAGCGCAAATCTCGTCATTGCATGGGAACATGCATTGATGACAAATAAAGTACATTTACATTTTCTTTTCAGGACCAACAAGTAAACTCCCCACAGAAATGTTCAGCTGAGTTTTGAAACTGCAACCTTCTGACTGTGAGGTGTCAACCCTCTCATCTACCATAGAGTGCTTTGTTCTGTTCGGGCCTGGTAAAAAAACAGATTATTTTCTGTTTGATACTCTAAACTGTAGAATGAAGGCTGACTGTCTGGCCATGTTGAGTTGTCCACATGAAGGTTAATTGCAGAGCCTGAGATGGTTGAATAAATATGTGTGTCTGCAGTTTTATGTCTGAAACTTTTACCTCTCAAACAAACTGGTCTAGCTGCTAGTTTATTAAACTTACAGAGAAACCCCAGATTCACTGATCAGACTGTGTGTGGACCAATCTGAAGCCTTTTGAAGAAAAACTTCAAAAACTCACTGAAATCACTTGAAAATGACAAAAGTAAGAAACCATCTTCTCTAAAAATAAAGAAATTAAAATCAGTCATTCTGTTTTGTGTCTCAGGATTAATCAGCACAACTTCCAGGAAGCTGGACCGAGAGCAGCAGACAGAGCACATGTTGGAGGTGAGGACGTTCACAGACTGTCATCTAATCTGATGCTTTCAGCCTGGAAATTACAACCAGTCCAATGTGTAAACAGAAGCCATCTTTGTTTACATCATTTTGTTCTGACCCGTCCCCCACAGGTGCTAGTTTCAGATGGTGGTCCTAGTCCCAGGAAGACTACAGTGTGGGTCATGGTTCTGGTCCTAGATGAAAATGACAACAAACCCACATTTCATGAAAAGGTCTACCAAGTCAAACTTCCAGAGAGAGAGCGCAGAAAGAAAGCGGAGCCCATCTATCGTGTATTCGCCTACGACCTTGACGACGGTCCAAACAGCGACCTCTCTTACAGCATCGTGGACGGAAACGAAGACGGGAAGTTCTTCGTTGACCCAAAGTCAGGAGTTGTGTCGTCACGGAAGGCCTTCATGGCAGGAAGCTACGACATCCTGACTGTAAGAGACAAGTTTTTAACTTTAGGACCATTTCAGTAACATTCTTCAGAAGATCAAAAAAATAATAATAATAATAATAAGTTGGTCCTCTGGATGGGTTCTTTAGTGAAACGTTTCATCTCTGCTCCAAGAGACTTCTTCAGTCTGATGAGTTTCAGTTGAAACTCAGCCTTATAAGCCCTGCCTCCACATGGACAAACAGGTTAGTCACATGCAAAGGAGGACCATCGCCTAACAATAGGCTTGATTAGTTCAATTGTTCATAGAGCCCCCGCTTGCATTCACTACATACACAAAACACGACACGGGTCAGATGATGGGGCGCATGACCCTCTATGAACAACAGAGCTAATCAAGCCTATTGTTAGTCGATGGCCCTCTTTTTGCATGTGACTAACCTGTTTGTCCATGTGGAGGCAGTACTTATACTGTAAGGCTGAGTTCACCTGAAACTAACTGAAGACTGACTGAGACTGAAGAAGTCTCTTGGAGGAGAGATGAAACATTTCGCTAAAGAAGAACCGATCCAGAGGACCTACTTATTTTTTCTTTTCGATTTTTTTCTACCTGGATTACTGAGATGCATCAGGACATTCTTCAGAAGAAGTCCAGGTTTACTGAAGAACTGCACATTTATGTGCGTCCAAATCAGAATTGTTTGTGATGGAGTCTTGGTCCCAGCTGGGATTTGTGCCACAAACTTTGCATAGTTTTGTGCAACTTTTAGAAGAAACGCCATCTATATATCTATAAAAACACCCAGAACAGGAAGTTTCTGATTGTTGGTGACATACTGAGTGAAATATTTCATACTTCTGAGCTGATGTTTACTGTGTATGTACAGAAACAACCTGCTGCCTTCACTACAAGGTATCATAAACTGTAAGAAATATTCGTGTTAAAAGACTGAAGTCAATAGAAAACCACCATCGTTAAAAAATATGATTTTTAGATGGAATAAAACCATACAAAACCAGAATTCTGGAGTGGGGGTTTATTGTTACCGGCGCTGACAGGAAACCACTCACTGTCGGCAAACCAGGAAGTTGATCCATTTATACAGAGTCTTCAATGCCCGCGTTCGCCCCCTACTGACCTACGACTGAATCACAGGCATTCATACAAAATTCTCACCAACTGTTCTCATAACGGTTAAATATGTGTTGTTATAGATATTTCAGACATGTAGCTAATCTATATCAATCAACACATAATAGATTAAACATTATAAAAAGGAAAACCTAAAATATAGTGTTGTGCTTTTAACATCAGTACTAACCTCTAATAACTATAAATTTCTTCAACAGGATGGACCTACTGTACCTGGAGGTACAATATATTAGTTTCAATATTTAAGAAGTTTATCATGTTCCAATATTCATAAAATACATAAATCAATATTTAAATAATAAATTATTTTACACAACACTAAACCCCTAAGCCTTTTGATAAGGACACGTCACTATTAAACTATGGATACTCTAAATTGTAATGTACAACAGTTAAATTCAATTCAAAAATACTTTATTGATCCCAGAGGGAAATTAAGTAAAAATAAAATGAAAATGTCAATTTGCTGTAACTGTCTACTTTAGCTATTACTCTCTACATGAGAGGGATCTGTTCTGGAAACCTGTTCTGATCAGGTTGGGTTAGCAGCTAAAGAAAATACTGGAGTCACAATGATCTTGCTCTTACAAACCAGAAGGATGTTAAAACCCTGAATGATCTCTGTTAAAGTACAATATGTTCTGTTTTAGAGAAATGCAGCTCAACAGATGCCTCTAATCTTAAGGTTTCTGTTCTTTCATGTTCAGATCAAAGCTTCAGACAACGGACGTCCACAGAAGTCCTCAGTAGCTCGTCTGCACATTGAGTGGATCCGCCGCTCTCCTCCATCCTCTCTGCCTCTGCGTTTTGATGAGCCTTTCTATAACTTCACTGTCATGGAGAACGATAAGACGGCAGAGATCGTGGGTGTGGTGTCTCTGCACCAAAACACAGTCCCTGTGTGGTTTGATATCACAGGTAAACACCATCCTGGAAGAGAGCAAGCTTCTCCCTGCAGGGTCTGTGTGTTGGCGAGACAGTGTTTGTGTGACAGTGTGTGTGTGACAGTGTTAGAGTGACAGTGTTCAGGTGACAGTGTTGGTACCAGTGTTGGGGTGACAGTGTTTGTACCAGTGTTCGTGTGACCGTGTTGGTACCTGTGTTGGGGTGACAGTGTTGGTACCAGTGTTGGGGTGACAGTGTTGGTACCAGTGTTGGGGTGACAGTGTTGGTACCAGTGTTGGGGTGACAGTGTTGGTACCAGTGTTGGTGTGACAGTGTTGGTACCAGTGTTGGGGTGACAGTGTTTGTACCAGTGTTGGTGTGACAGTGTTTGTACCAGTGTTGGGGTGACAATGTTTGTACCAGTGTTGGGGTGACTGTGTTTGTACCAGTGTTGGTGTGACAGTGTTTGTACCAGTGTTGGTGTGACCGTGTTGGTACCAGTGTTGGTGTGACA